TAGATGGTCTCTGGGGCCGGTTTCACAAACAAACTTTGACTGTGTCTTAGATAGTACAAATAGTCACACTTCAGGTAGACTGAGTCTTAATTCATCCCTTACACAGAAAGCAGTTTAGTTCTTGATTATCTTAAGTCAGACTATGGTAAAAATGAATTCTTGGTAAATAATTTTTTCTAAATAAAAAAAATGGCCGACCGAGAAACTGCATCTGCTCAGCTCTGTTTAGCCCAGCAGAAAATGTTTGTCGTTAGGAAGAATTCAACAGTTGAAGAGTGAATGAAGAGTGGAAAGAAAAATCTGATTTGGAAAAAAAATGGCCTCTGTCTCTAAAAACTCTTTCCCTCCTCTTTGCTCTCTCCATAACAATGTTAGCAAACTGCAAATTATGAGCCATGTTTTCTGTTTCTTGTTGTTGGGTGGTACTGGTCAGTGCAGGTATCATCAATTGTTACCATGGTAACACTGGTCTTAGGCCTGAGTCAGCCTCGGGCTAAGGTGTCTAATGTTTTTGGATTAAAAAACGAAACAGGCCCCTGGTGTCCAATGTGAACGACCTTTGACCTCCTCTCAGTCATGCTGTGAATGGTTTTGGTCTTGTGGCTGTTCTAGGTACTCACTTCATCTGTCTCAGGGTCTTGTGTTTTTAAACTAGCACACATCACCCAGGACCAGTTGTGTTTGGCACACTGGTTGTGGTAGATGTTTTTTCTTTCTATTCGTTGTTTGTTGCAGAAATACCTTAAGAGAAATATATATATATATTTGTGTTGTTACCATTCTCTGTTTAACCTCCCTGTGAAAAACACTCGATCAAACATTAGTTTAAAAGTTCATTTTCAGTATGACATGAACATTACTTCTCCAGAATGAGCAGGCAGCACATCAGGGTCCAGTTTTATTGGTAGAGATATGAGAGGAGGTGTCACTGACAGACTGCTCTGGCTCTCAGCAGCCATATTTGGTCACACAGCAGTCTGAGGTTGTACAGACCATAAGGCTGTATTCCTCTTAAGTGTCCCATCCACTGACTTTCACAGCTCACCTCTACAGGCTGCTGTCATCTCTGCATGTGCAAATGTCTGACATGTTAAACAAGAAGCTACAGTTAAGGGATTCAAAAAGTCTCTGATTGCTGCTAGCTCACTGCTCAGCCTCTGGTCTTTTCACTGTAGAACAGGGAGTTGTTAAAGCAGAAATGTTCAGAGTGGGTTCCTGCATGTGGAAATCAAAAAGTTCCACTTGGGTTTCCTCAATGTCACACCTTCCACTGCAGCTACAGAGTTTACCTGAGGTTTAACCAGAGCAGGTTCAGAGAGCAGGTGTTGGTTTATGAGGGTATATTCTGTTACCACTTTGTAATAGCCCCACTAGATCACGTTAAGCCTTTTACATTTTAAAACTCTCATTGACTTCTGTTTATCATTTCTTCTTGGTAATAATGGAGTTAGACAAGTTTCTAATCCACAAATAAACACTCATGGTCTTCTAACCCTAATAATCTACGATCTCTAAGAAGATAAATTTGTGGTTTTAAGAACCAAAAACTCAACGTAGTTTTACATCTCCTCTCTCAGGTTTCTCTGTGGAGCTCTAGTAACAACAGGTCAGTGAGCCAATCAGAAAACAGGAGGCTCTGAGCCTTTCCTCTGATTGGCTGACTTTTCTGAGTGATCCAATAAAAATATAGTAGATTTCAGGTAAACACTCAGAGAAACCAAATCCTGTAAGGTTGGATGGTGGGTCCAGGTGGGCGGGGCTTGGGGCATGGCTGAGGGCGGTGACTGCTTTGTTGTGACATCACAAAGTTCCAGAAGTCCTGACGGCTGGTTTTAAGGCTCAGTTTCTGAATACAGGCTGTGTGCATTTCTCTGTGGACTGAGGCTTTGATACTTTCACAGTATTAATATAGAACATAGACCTGCTTTATAATCAAACAACACATGGACATCTATCTTTATACTATACGGGACCTTATATAACACATTCATTAAAGGTTTCAATCATCAGAGCTCCAGTTATAAACACCATTAAACCTAAAAAGTAATTAAAATGGGTTTTAATCCATCAAGTTTGCAGTTATACATATTAATGAGTCTGATAAATGGATTTTGGTCAAATGGTCCAAATCAGTTGATGGGATTGGCAACCAGGCAAACTAGATGTTGTTCTTATTAATGCTTATAACAGATTAATTGAGTTTTAGTACATCATTTAAACTTTAGCCATTAGTTACAACTTATAAACCCCTATAAACCCTTATTGAGGGCACATAACTAGAAAGTGACACATTAATTTATAATAATATATTATAATATAATATAGTATAGTATAGTACATAGTCTTGCTGAACAGAGTATGTTCAAATTCCTGTATGGGCAGTGTAACCATCAGACTCATCCCATTGGAAACCCATGGAAACAACACTCATGTGTTTGCTGTGATGAACCAGTACAGAATGATCAGAATTTTTAATGTTGACACAAAAGCATCTGTAGAATTAGTCCAGTTTGTTCAGTCCACTCACAATCATGGCTGATGTTTTATTAAAATCACAAATCTGACAGCTGCTGTTATGTAGTGCTGACAAGATATTTTTTATCATCTATATTTTTCATGTTTTTTATCAGATATTTCAAATGGCTGGGCAGAGAATAACTCACTGTTGTGAGGGAGGATTTTACTTTAATGGAATGTGCCCTGCCTTAAACACATAGGAGCCAAATTAACTTTATGATCTTGGTTGTTTTCTCCCTCATGAGAATGAGATTACTATCACTAAAAGTGCAACACTGCACTTAAGTCTTCAGGTCAAACATGCCAGCTGGCCAACTCCTGGTTACTAGTGGACTTTCAGGCCATCTGCTGGTGTGTTCCTGTCATGTGTCATCTGTGATTGGACTGGGAAAGTCAAAGGAATTTTAAAGTAGGACAGAATGGTGAAATTACCTGATTAGAAAAGAGGGGTTAGAGGCTCAGGAGGCACAGTGGGTTGTCTGCTAATCGGAAGGTTGGTGGTTCGATTCCCAGCTCCTCCAGTCCGTGTGTTGAAGTGTCCCAGGGCAAAATACTGAACCCCAAATGATGCACCATCAGTGTGTGAACAAATACTATGTGAATGGGTGAATGTGACCTGCAGTGTAAAGAACTTTGCGTGGTTGGTAAGACTAGAAAAGCACTACTATATCTACTTATCTACCCAGACAGATACACTGTGAAAAATAGTTATTAAGAGTCCAAAGATCTTGGTTGGTCCACCAGTTTGATCCTGCATGAAATATTGTTAATATCTATTAACTAATGGATGAATTGTCATGAAATGTGGTGCAGACATTCATGTTCCCTCAGGATGAACTGTAACGACTACTGCCATCATCAGGTCAAGATTTCATTTTGTCCAGTGCTTTGGTTTATGACCAGATACGTGCAAAACTAATAATGATCCCATCAGCCCCACTTGTACTCTGTGTTTACTGCTAATAAGCAGTGGTTAGCATGCTAATATAGCACCATACAGTAAACAAAGATGGAGATCATGGTAAACATTAGCTGCTTTTATCGCTCTTGCAGTTTGGTTTTCTTTACAATCAGCTGTGCAGCCTGACAAAGATGCTAACATGGCTGTAAACTCATAAGGGTTCAGTATGTTTCAAACTAGTTTATATGAAGCTTCATTCAAACACACACCTGTTTCCTCTAACTGCAGGTAATGATGATGCACCATCACAGAGAGCAGAGAGACAGCAGTCCACACAGTCTCTCCTCACAGATATTCATGGTGTTGCACTCTGTTAACCAAAAGAGAAGTTATATGAAGAATGACAAAAGAGAAATTTTAACCCTGCATACTCATAATCATCCGACACACACACTCCATCAGGTGGGTGTTATGTTTGCTCTCTGGCGTTCTTATGGAGTAGGGATAACAACACCAGCGTTACTGGAAACTGGTGGCCTTTATTCAGCCATAGTGGGTCTCAAAATGGCCCCATGCAAAGAAGTCCATCGAAGAACCCCCCTACATGCAGGCTACTGGCAGAGGCCTCAATTTACAGATGTCCCATAAACACCACACATTCAGTCCGTATTCACTAGCAACAGCACACATTATTGGGGGCCCCACGAGGGGTTTTGAGGCAACAGCAGTGCAGTGTATAGTGTCTTTGTTTGTTTGAAACATACTGATGCCTTTAGTCTTTCATTTAGTTTGTTGCTTGTTTGTTATATATTTGCTGGTGGAAGGATAAAGGTCAAATATGTCGACCAATGTGAGGATAATATCAGATAAACACAGGTTTCTGGGCGTGTTTGAAAGCGTCACCAAGGCTCACTGTCCAGTCGCAGTCATTAAACAGACAGTGTTTCAGCTTGAGAATAATATTCTTCAGTTCACACTGACAAAAATAATAATCAGTAATAAGCACTCAAAGGTTCTGTAGACGATCGTCACTGCCACTAGATGTTGCACTAGAACACCAGCATCTGGTGTTAAGCAAGGTGTTAAGAAGCCCAGTCAAAGTGTCCACTAAGCGCACGAGAAACACATCTGAATAAAGTTACTCTGTGAACACGAAAGCCAACAAAGAACAATTCTGCCACAACCATTAGCCCATGCCGCATAGCATTGCCGTGATATGCACCACAACAATGCTGACAGTTAGCCAGCTAGCGATAGCAACATTTGCCAAACAAATTCAAAATAAGCGTAACAGCAAACATTTAACAGCAGGTACTCACATGCACTAACATGCACACGTACGTGCACTTACATTGCAAAACACACAGAGGAGGTGTTACTTAGTTCTCTGCTCAGGACACTATGACTACACTATATCTTTACATAGAAAATAGTTGTTGGCTGCTATATTATTATGTTAATCTTGTTTACAGAACCTATAAAAATTGGGGGTTAAATAATTGGGGTTTTTCATTGTTACTATTACTTACTTACTTATTAAACCTGACCTCTAATTTCTTCCTGTTGCACCTTTTTCTTTCAGGGTGGAGTTCCAGAACAAGTTTTACTCGGGCCAAGGGTTCAAGTTCGTCCCATTCTCATTTGAGAGCATCCTGGAGGGACGACTCGACGAGTGATCGAGCCTCCACCCCTCCAGCATGACTCTCCAGCCTTCCCCTCTCCTCAGTGTATGTGTTTGTGTGTGTGTATACAGCCTTCTGTCACCCTCTAGTGGTCATTTGTGAAACCTCAGTGTGTAATAGGTGTAATGTCATCTTAAAGAGATGTTTTTCCAGTGCACCAGTACCAGGTTATTCCCCACACTGGAGCTTCTATTGCTGTGACACAGTACCATCACTGTACTGAGAGCTCAGCCCTGTCACCACCACTGTCCTAACATCTCCTTCACCTACAACAAGGCTTTTCACTCTATAATAAATCTGTTCAGGAGATCCTGTAACACCGATTATATTTTGAAAGTATAGTCATCAAATGTCATTAGGTCTTAATTTACAGAACTTAAACTTTCATCAATCTTCATGATTATTAAATGCTCATGTTTCCATCACATTCTGGATAGCTTGCTGTCAAAAGAGTGACTGCTACAGATCTCAGACATGACAAAAATGAAGACCTAAGTCGCAATAAGCTGTAATGTGCTGTTTGTGCAGCATCGCTGTGAACTGTACTTTCACCATGAAATAACATGAGCACATCTGGAGCTGTAAGACCATGACTCAACATTTGGTGATATTTGTAACATGACTGAAAGGCAGTGTGATTCTTCCCAGTATATGAACATTCAGAATGTTAAAAACTCAATGTATGGATTCCAATGGATGTAGTGATTTGTTGCTGTCTGACCATGAAGTAGTGAAAGGAACACAGCTTTTCCTTGATGAGTGGAGCCTTTGTGATCTGTGGCATCCTTGTGCTCCTTCTGTGTAAATTGTTGTAAAGTGGTTAAAGAAGTGAACTGATGCATTGAAGCCTGAAATGTCTAAAAGTTCATTTTGTGGAATCAACTGCAGTTGCTTCATAAATATGAAGTATAATGTCACTCCTTGTCCATCCTTTGTGATAAATGTACATTTATTTTCTCTACATATCTTTAATTTTGAAGGATGCTTTGCATTCTCATCAAAGTAGCCTTCGACATGTGGACGGTCAGCACACCCATCAAGGGTTAAATGAAGTGAACATGTAAAGTGGGCTGTGCTGCACTGAAACATCTCTTCCAATCAAACTGAAGAACAGTTTGGACACAGTAACAATCATGTTTGGCTGATAATCAAAGCTATTGATAGTGAATTTGATTTTCTTTGTTTTGTTTCAGAAAACATATTTTATAAGTGTTGTTTGAAATGTTTCAGATCATTTGTATTTAGATGTTGATGCAGAGTGTGTGAAGAGAGCCTCTACACATCAAATGCAGCTGGTGTTGGTCAGTGACTGGTGACATGAAGGTCATGTGTTTGTGGTCAATAATAAACAGAGACTTGGGGATTCATCTTGTGTCCTGTTTTTTTCTCTCTCAATCTCTGGGTAAGAGCAGGCAAATGCTCTGGACCCTCAGACCCCCGAGGGCCCCAAGCACCACGGGTTTGCTGTGTGCCAGTTAGGTTATATTAATAGATATTTAGCTCAGCTCATGATTTGCAGTTTGATATAGTAGTCACTATATGTAGAGATAGATGGTTCTGTATCCAGCAATGAGGTGTCCCTCCTATAGTTGTTTTATTTTTGATTTTTGAGTTTCTTCCGGTGGTTTCTTTAAGTCCTCAGTGACGATGTTTTCCTCCAGTGAATTAATAATAGATCATTGTGGTCTAATGATCAAATGCTGAACTTTCATGGCCTTCGTTCTCTGACCCTCGGTTTTGCAGCGTGCTGGTTTTTCTTGGACCTCAACAAACTTCAGATTTTAAAGCTGCACCTCTTATAACTGAAACTAAATCAGGTCCCCAATCTGACTGTTTAGGTTCAACAGATACCCTCTAAATAGGTGAATTAAAATCAACCATAGATGAGGACCATGCAGCACGCTGAGACACTGAGCTTCACTCAGTGCAAGTTCAGTCTAATCTGTAACTGTTCAGTCTAGCACAGTATATGAGCCCCTCACAGGTGCTTCAGATTACACAAGTCAAGCAGACACCCTGGGTTGGAGCCGCTCTGCCTCAATGTGTACTCCCTCCAGAATGCCTGCAACATGTACCGCGCTGACTACGGTACTTTACGGTTGAGAGGAATACACCAGTACGTTTTGCTTCTTTGTAAAAACATATAGTTTCAATCTAAATAAAAGATGTTAGGCAGTCTTGTTTTACTTCAGTGCACATAATTTTACAATGGTAATAACACACCACAAACGGAGTAACACACCCTCAAATAAATTAGTTTAGCTGCTCTTTGATTTGTAAAGTTCTTCTATCAGCAGATACTGTGCATATAATATATGAATTCAGAGGAGTCATTTCTTTAGTAATAATCAAGCATTTATTTACATCAAATGAGGCACTTATAATCAGTGATAATAAAAAAACTGTAGGATTCACTGGATCCATAAAAAAAAATGTGAATCACAACATAGATATGTTTGCAAGACTAAATGCCCTGTCCAGTTGTTTTAGTCGGTACAGGTATCTAGCCTATAGGAGCTTTGTGAGCTGGTGCTGGGGCTTCCGTGGTCGCAGAATCTTAGTCGTCATTCCAGCCTGCGTGGTCCTACGTGTCAGTGCCAAGTTTCCTGACGCCACAGGCCGGTACGTGGGTTTCAGACTGGCCCATGATAGAACCGGGACACATAGCTGGATATGACCTCCTCCTTCTCAGGCCGCTCGAACTGTGCAGTGAGGTCCTCTGGGATGGGGATGGCCAAAGCAGCTTCTGTGTATGGTCCCAGGTCAACAAAGACTTTTTCAAATATGAGGTCCACCACATTCCCTGTTTGATAAAACACAAAAGATTTTGTTTACATTTTTCACTTTTTTGTTGTTTTTTTACAAAACAATGACTGAAAGTCTGTTTCTAACTACCTCCTGACATTTTCTTTACTGTATTTTGTTGTTGGTGGAACTGTCATAACATTATACGTGCAATACTTAATACAATGTGTACAAAACATTTTTTGGTTGAAAAATAAAATAATATAACACTTATAGAATGTCGGCTCAGTCTTAACTGGTGTAGCTCTGCATTCTCCCTTCATGGCCTTTGGAAATTGGACCTTGAACAGTGGTTCACCTTCTTTTGTTTGGGCTTGTGGTCGGTCAGCATTTTCATTGTAGTACATGGCAGCCAGGTAGAGTCTGGAGGTACAGTAAAGAGAAAATCAAAGATGTTAATATTGACAGAAACCTTAGCCTACACACTCTCACAGGTTCTAAGTAACCACAGCTTCATTTACCTGCACAGCATTCCAAGACTGATAAATGACTGTTAGGTTTATCAAAAGTAGATGCACTTCAGACGCTACAGACCTGTACTTCTGATGTGAGGCTGAAGAGTCCTCAAGGATAACTGTGTGCCTACAGTGGGTCAGTCTGGCATGCAACATCCCTTGTTGCAGGAAGCTGTATACAGACCCTTTCCAAAAAATTAGAATATCATGGAAAAGTTGTTTAATTTCCATAATTCCATTCAAAAAGTTAAACTTTCATAGATTATAGATTCAGGGCCCACAATTTAAATGATTCTAAGTATGTATTTATTTATTTTTACATAATTTGGGCTTCCAGCTCATAAAACCCACAAAAACAGGAATTCAAACAATTAGAATGGCTACAGAGCCGGGCTTTGAGCCAGGACTCTGAGCTTTGAGCAAAGTTCTCAGCTTCTAGTTTCTGCATCGTTTTCTAGCTTCAGCTTTTCATCTTCTCGCTTTTTCCTTCTTCGCATCTCACTGAGTTTCTACCCTCTGGCATCAAGCTTCTTCTAGCGTTTTTTAATGTTTCTAACCATGTGTGAATTGATCACAACTGTTTTATCCCCTGGGGGCTGGCGCATGTTTCAGGGGCGTCACCCATCTCCTCCTGTGAGAATCATTTTCCACTGAACATTGGAATAATTTAATTCTATAATTTACTTATAAACTCGCACATCCGTCTTCCACCATGACCACAAAACATTAAATGAAATAACATAAAACTACTTGCACTAATAATGACAGACAGGAGTAATAGGAGTGTTGATTTCATATTACATCCTTCAAACCTGGAATTAATCGTAATACAAGTGGTTAACTGATCAAACAACAATATAAACATTTCCCAAAGCTAATAGTCTATACATGTGGATTACACAGCAGTTCTTTGACTGTAATAATAATAATATGGACATCATGGATGTCATGTAGTGTGTGTTACCTGTGTGAAGGCTGCTGACAGTATGGTCACATGAAGGACCTTGTCTTAAAATCTACATGTTACATTTCAAACATTCTATGGGATAGAAGTTTGGGATTAAACTATTGCATAGGAACATCTCATGAGTTACAGAACAGTTAGATATTTAATTTTACATTCTTCCTTAGATCTGTGTCTGTGAAGAGAGTTCTGCTGGTCACTACCCAGGATTGGAATGTGGGTTGTAGTTTATGACTCTTACAGACAGAGGAAGGGAGGTTGGTGTGTGTGTGTTCATGCATGGCACAGACTGGCCTGGATTCACACCTTAGTGATAATCAGTCCTTGTGTTGTTACTTGTCCTATATAAGAAACAATCAAATATCATTAGAGTCTTATTGTTACAAACTGGAGATTTTGCCTATATTCTCCAGTTGCCTGGTGTCCATTGGTTGATCCTCTGGAGCTGACCCTTTGACCTTTGGTCTGGTTCTGTGTCGTTCGGACATGCTAAAATCATGGTCTGTTTGTGGGAGAAGGTTCCTTTGTCTCTGTTTCCTATCAATTTGATAGTTTGATGGTGGGAAGAGTCACAAAGTGTCAATTGTGGGTCCGTAACTCTGCATGTCCTTACAATGAACCTTAATGGCTTGCGACTGATGCCAGGCCAGGTATGTATGCTACAGTACATAGCTAACAATAGCATTAACAGCTGCTTAACTTCAGTCTTCCCAAGAGCTTCAGTCATTGTTGTGTTTGTAATACATTAGGGTATAATGTGGCACAGCCACTACAGGTTTGTAAGAGCCTTGGAACGCTAAAGCTTTAACTCAATATTTAGATTTCGATTTAGGACAAGGACAGAGACTGAAGCAGAATAGTGGAAAACTTTCTATGTTGCCCACACATTCCAGAGAGTAACACAGTATAACAAAAATTAAATCCCTTAAACACTGGTCAACTATGTGATTTTAGCACTGAGCGATAAAAAAAATTCACAAGGAAAATGTCTCTTTTAACTGAGGGACAGAATTATTCTAAAAGTGGTGCCACACTGTTCACCAACATAAAAACACTGTGCACCATGACTGTGGTGACTTAAAGAAATTGAAATAAGAAATAAAAACTTTAACACAGTCCCAGGGTGCAATTGCCCATCTTAAAATTTTGGGTAGAAATATTAAAAAACACAATACAAAAGACTGAGAAGCTTGGCCAGGGGTACCACTGTCCAGTTCAAATCATCTCATTTTTGAATAATATGAAATGTTTTAAAAGATACTTTTTGAATGCAAAGTCTTCTGATATTTGCAAAGGTGACATTGTGCACACTGAACTGAACCCATTCTGTATCTGAACTGAAATGGATTTGATAAAGAAATATTTCCTTTACACCAATAATTTAGATCAGCAGACTCTGAATGAAACAAGTGGCTTATCAACATTATTTCACTCCATTCTACTAAATAATAATTATACAATTAAAAAATGATTCAGCTTAAATATTATACATATTATAGTTGGGGAGCACAGCATAATGCAATCAGAAATAAAATAACTATAGGAGGGACACCTCACTGCTGGATACAGAACCATCTATCTCTAGGGTTGATTCGGCTGATTTCGCCACATACCATTTAATCCAGCATGTTTGACCATAGACTGTGTGACAGAGTGGAACTGCAGCTGTACTTAATGTGAGGATCTATGTATTTTTTCATGAGATTTTATTTGGGGTCATAAGTAGGCCTACATGATAACCATATTACAAGAGCAAATAAACATATTCTTCATAAGACAGAATACTGAATAGGTTTCACATGAAACAGCTGTGTAGTTATTGCATATGATGTTTAAAATGTATGTTCATTTTGTGGGAAAAGTGTCTCTGTGTCAAAATTGTTTAAAATTGATTGGCTTGTATCATCTCACATTGCAAAAGTTCTTATCTTGTCCTATAAAAATGTTTCTTTACTGAGCCTTAAAATGTTATTTAAGTGCACGCTCACAGGTGACATCAGGAGCAGTCTGATGGCTCATGTTTCAATCACTCAAAACAACTAAACAGCACTACAACGGCAGCTGTGGCTTGAAGAAACACCATGTGGCTTATAGACTATATCCATCTAACTGTGGCCGTGCCGAGGCCTGACCACGT